GTGTGGGGCACGATCATTTTGCTGTGTCACCCGACCGATTTCTACCCTCCCTCCCGTCCCCTCGCCTTCGGCAGCCCAGTCATGCACCGCCCACAACCACACAACTCGTCGGAGTTTAGCGTTTACCACTGCATCGGTCATTCACTTTCGGTTTTATTTATTTTAGCATTGTTCTGTCCGAAATTGCTTTGCAATCAAATCAATTGCTTGTTTGCTTGTGTTTGTTTCAGGACCCAGGGCATCCAGGGGTCAATCACTATCAACGGTCATGAAAGAAACTTGAGCCAGTTCCGCAAGCTATCCTGCTACATCATGCAGGACAACCAACTCCATGCAAACCTCACTGTCGAAGAGGCAATGCAAGTGGCAACAGCCCTGAAGCTTGGCTCTGATGTCTCCAAGTCAGAGAAAGAGGAATTGGTAAGGAGATATTTAGTGTAAGATTGTGAAAGTTATGAAATACAAGTACTTCAATTTCCTTTCCTATACAATACACCACTGAACATACTTTTCATGCTCACATAAAAGGATGGGGAGAGGGTAGATGTAAGGGAGGTAGTAAAAGAACGAAATGAGAAAATGGTAAGCAGTGGATTAAAGTAGAGGCATCTGTGTAGGAAATACTGTGATAATAAAATAACAATAAATAATGATAATAATTATAACAATAGTAATAATACAATAATATTAGAGGTAGAACTATTCAAATGATATGACATTATTTACTAATAATTTTCCCATGTATTCTTACAGATTCAAGAAATTCTTGAGACCCTTGGTTTGTCTGAACATGTGAAAACTATGACCAGCAACCTATCTGGTGGTCAGAAGAAACGTCTCTCTATTGCCCTTGAGCTTGTCAACAATCCTCCAATTATGTTCTTTGATGAGCCTACAAGGTATGTTTTTCATTTGTTTATTAAATTGTTGATTTTTCTAGCTATGATTGTGATGCTAACATGCAAATTTTCCTCTCCAGTGGTCTGGACAGCTCATCCTGCTTCCAGTGTATCTCTCTGCTGAAATCCCTCTCTCGTGGAGGTCGTACCATTATCTGCACCATTCATCAGCCTTCTGCTCGTCTGTTTGAAATGTTTGATCACTTGTATACCCTTGCTGAGGGTCAGTGTGTTTACCAAGGATCCACTCAGCAGCTGGTCCCTTTCCTGGGCAAACTTGGTCTGGCATGTCCTAGCTACCACAACCCTGCCTCTTTCAGTAAGTTATCCAATTCTTTTTACTGATCGACCTGTGACTCTGTGGTATTAATTGCTCTTTCCTTGAAAAATGTTTCCAGTCATTGAAGTTTCGTGTGGTGAATATGGAGACAACATTCGCAAGCTAGTCACTGCGATTAAAAACGGCAAGCATGACATCCGTACTGGTCAGCCCTTCCCAGCCATAGAAGCTCTCAACAACTCAACATCTCCTAGCAACAATCTTAAGATGACTAATGCACAGAATGGAAATAATTTGGTGTCCTTTAACAAAGATGCTACTGACAAAGACCTTTCTGAAAAGAAAGGAAATGGTATCATGCTGGCATCATTTAAGTCAAATGAGAAAGAAAATGGCATCAGTGAGTATATTTTTTATGATACTTGTTTTTTCTGTTACACATTTACATTGTTTCTATTCATCAGTTTTTAAAATTATGTTTTTCAACCTTTTCAGATGGAGATGGATCTCAAGTTGTCATTCCTGTTGATTTGTCTGCCAATGACAAATCTGATAATGTTGCAGCCTCTCTTTTGGATAGTGGAATAGTTGACACCAAGAGGAGATATCCTGTGTCTGAGTGGAAACAGTTCTGGGTTGTTCTAAAGCGTACCCTTCTGTTCAGTAGGAGAGATTGGGTTGGTATTTTTGCTTACTTAACTTCTTTTCTCAACAGCTTTCCAGAATATCTACACTTTAAATTTGTTTTGTAAATCCTAGTCTTTGTATTATTTTTCTTAAAATTTCACTATTTTTTTACAGACACTCATGTACCTCCGTCTGTTTGCCCATATACTTGTGGGTTTCCTAATTGGTGCTCTCTATTATAACATTGGTAACGATGGAGCGAAGGTTCTTAGTAACTTGGGTTTCCTCTTCTTCAACATGTTGTTCCTTATGTACACTTCAATGACCATCACCATTTTGTCCTGTATGTTGAAATTCATGACTTTTTCTCTACCATTCAAAAATAACATATAAAACTGCTGGAAACTCTTTAGCTAAATTTGAATTTTTACTCCCTTTCAGTCCCTCTGGAAATGCCTGTTCTTTTAAAAGAAAGTTTTAATCGCTGGTATTCACTGAGGTCATATTACTTGGCCATAACAGTATCTGATTTACCATTCCAGGTTTGTAATCATTCTTGCACTATAATTTTACTCTCATTAAATTTTTGCTTGCATCTTAACTCTTGTACTTATTAACATTTATTTTATTTTCAGACAATATTCTGTGTGATTTATGTCACAATTGTATATTTCATGACATCACAACCCCCAGAACTTGAGAGATTTGCCATGTTCCTCTCAGCTTGTCTACTTATTGCATTTGTTGCTCAGAGTGTTGGTCTTGTGGTTGGTGCAGCCATGAATGTCCAGGTAACTTTACTTTAGACAGTTGCAAGCACTGAGAGCACCGAGTCTTCCTGTGCTTGCTGAAAATCAAATTTTCATATTTTTTTTATTTGTCTCATGCAAATGTTTCTTTTTCTTTCATTCCAGAATGGTGTCTTTTTGGCTCCTGTTATGTCCGTGCCATTCCTCCTGTTCTCTGGCTTCTTCGTGAGCTTTGATGCCATTCCTATCTATCTGAGATGGATCACATATTTGAGTTACATCAGATATGGTTTTGAGGGAACTGCTCTTGCCACCTACAGTTTTGCTCGTGAGAAGCTTAAGTGTTCCCAGGTACTTACAACCTTCTTTTCTAGGGTAATTTAATGATTTTAACAATATCAGTTTTACTAAAGTTAAATAATTTTTGTTTCAGACATACTGTCACTTCAAGAATCCTGAGACTACGTTGGAAGAATTGGACATGTTGGACAAGGATTTCCGTGTTGACATTGTTGCTCTAGTGCTGATATTTATTGTACTTAGAGTTTCGGCCTTTGTGTTCCTTCGTTGGAAGTTGCGCGCAGCCCACTAAACTATTTCTGTAGGGGCAGTATTTGCCGATATTTGCTCTCTGAATTGCTCATGCATCATGGTATCAAAGCCATAGTTGCCCCACTATTTTGACCTATAAGTTAGGTTTGTATATATTTATGGTTTATAATGATTATCATTACTATTTGAATTTGTTTCTGTGTATGTTTTATCGTAGTTTGTGCTATGTTTTTGTTCCAAAATTAACCCTTTTTCAATTTTTGTACCCTTCTTGTTTTGATATTCTATTAAGTACATAAAATAGTAGAAATGTGATACTGAACCTCTCAGCTGTATTATATCCTAAAATATACTTTTATTTGTATGTTGATTTCAAATTTTGTTTTTCCTTGCTTTTGGACAGTGGACTTCGAGATTTACAAAATCAAATGAAAATATTTCTTACTTAAAATAAAAGCTCTGACCCAGAACAATTATTTTTATACTGCTAATCAGAGGACAGGCAATTGTAATAGACCAAACAAAGTTACATCGTGATAAACATTTTTACTTTAGAGTTTTGTTATTGTTTTGTTGTCGGTGATAATGAGTGAAGAAGTATGTTTTGTTCTATGTTGTGAGTGTGAGAACTGGAACTCTACATGCTGTAGACATTGATGTGGTGCTATGTAGTTAGTGAGAATTTTCTCTCTGTGGTATGACAAACAAAAAAGTTGAGGAATAATGAATGGCTGTGATAAACCATGGCCATTATTCAATTCTTGATATAGATGGTTGTGCTTTGTTAAAATGGTAGTTTTGCCGTATCATGAAGATTGCAAGAAAAATAAGGGCACAATGTTAGTGCAAAATCACATTTCATTTAAATAATTTAATTGTAACTCATTTACCATTTTTTTCATTTATGTGTTGCCTTACTGAGCATTTGTATCAAATCATCACCATTTTTATTATACTTCCTTTCTGTCATATGAGCCAAACTTTATTTTTGTCAAACATTTTTGTCCTTTTTAATTTGTTTAATTTCTTATCTCTAAGTTTATGTCAGTAATGTTCAGTCTTCTATGTGAATTGCCTGTGCGAATGCATTAGGAATGCCTGGATTACAGGGTTAAACACAAACGTACCAATGTTGTTGGCCAACATGGCACTAGTTTTGTGGCTTTCTTATTTCTTGTGGGTCATGCTCATAAGGAAGGAAGCACTTTCATACAAATGCTGTATTATTTTCTTAAGCAATTTTTTAACAACAGGGTTTAAGGAATGAGGGGACCATATCCAAGATATAAGTCTTATCTTATCTGTTATTGTGTAATTATAATTTTAATGTAGAAATTTTTACTATCCACTGTAGTTTTATTTCCGTGTGTGATGAACTTGCCA